CCAGCATGAACTTAAACAAGATGCTCACACATGAGGCTAAAGTGGCCAATATTGAAGGCAACAAGGAGAGGGGATGGCCCTCTCCATCTTAGGACCTTAAAGCACCATCCCTAGAGGGATTTTAGTGGTGTGGAGGGCCAAACAAGGTGGTCCTGGAGCTCACCAAAAATAGCACAAAATGGAGCCAAACAAGGCCTAAGGGGGGTCAAACGATCCCGAACACCAAAACAACCTTAAACAACTATTTTAAGCACTCAAAATAAGAACTTTTATATGTTATAGACTAAGCTTAAAAACAGTTGCAAGGATGGCTAAAAGCCTATGCAAAAATGGGGAATAAAGGGGTAAAGTTCTTACCCTTGAAGACCTCTTTCAAGAACAATGCTCTAGCAGCCTCTCCAAGCTTAGATCAATGCAAGAACTCTGAAAATCACTCCTTAGTACCTCAGTAGCTAAAGGAAAGTGTAACACTAGGTGTTTGTATGCAAAACTATGAACAAAACACCTTAAACACACACTAAATGGAAGGAGAAGGAGATATAGAGATAGAGTAGATACACAATCCTCTAACCCTAATCTCAGAGCTCTGGAACTTCTTTGTAACCCTTGAGGAGGGAGGAGAAGGCCTCCCTTTATAGAGATTCACTCTTGCAAAGCTTACAAAACAAGCTAAGCAAGAGTGAAATCCCTCCATACACGTGTATGGAAGGTGTGCAAGTGGGTGCCAGCTATCGCAGCTGGCACAAAATATCTGCCAAAAGAAGATGCACAGTGGTCGGCCAGCCAAAAATGACAAATTGACCAAAACAATGGTCAGCCGGCCACAAAGAGTGCCAGCCGGCCATCACCAATAGCCGGTGGCAACAAAACATGGCCGGTGGCCTCAAGCCAAGGCTAGTGAGGTGTAGGGATGGCCAACAAGCCATTCCCTGCCCCTTAAAAGCAAAACACAAGTGTTTGCTGCAAAACCAAACACAAAACAGGCAAGTCGAGAGGTCTTGAGACAAGGCGTGTGGCCGAGACCTCCGAGAACTCAAGACGAACACGAACATGGATGATCACCGAGTGTTCAAATGGTGATGTCCAAGTCTTGAGGACGGTCAAAAATGGAGTGTCTACAGGAACGTGTCCCCCACAATTGCAGGGGAAAAGTGTAGAGGGTCAAAATTAAGCCCCAAATTAGGTTTGTGCCTAAGTACTGAGGTCACCCTAAAGAGGCGACCATGAATGAAAATGGAGCATGGGCCAAAGCCCAAAGGAAGTGGGCCAACAATGGACCGAAGCAGGTCTGACCTACCAATGGTCCAAATGGGCTCCACGAAAGAAAATGCCTAAGACAAGTTGTAGAGGCAACACATGCAATGGTCAAGTTGAGAGGCAATACATGCAGCAAGAAAGTTGCTAAGGGACTTTGCCTTAGCGCCACCATTCCTAATATCTTCGGTTTCGTCACCATCTGAAGTTGCTGAAGGAAAGAGAAAGCCGAAGCAACTAAGTTGTAGAGACGACACTTGCGACGGCCAAGTTACAGAGGCACTTTGTCTCAGCGTCGCTATTCCAAGTATTGTCGGTTCGGCCATCATTCCAAGTATTGTCGGTTTCGCCGCCACTTGGAGTTGCTGAGAGAAGGAGGAAACCAAAGCAACTAGGTTGTAGAGGCAGTACTTGCAGTGCCCAAGTTACGGAGGCACTTTTTTGGTGCCACCATCTCTAATATTGTCAGTTCTGTCATTTGAACTTGTGGCGGGAAATGACTGCCGCAGCAACTACAGTCGCCGCAATTAGTATGCAGAGGGAATATCCTGCCAAGGTGATTGCAGCCTTTTGGCAAAGTTTCCCATCTGCAAGTAGAAGCTAATGCTTTGTAGAGACCCTAATTTTTGTAATTACCATTAAATCCCTAACCTTGAGTTTATTTCAATAAAGCCCTTGAAGTTTTGCTTAATTGCATTTTAAACCCTAGAATCGGGAAGCATCGCGGATTAATTCGAGTAAACCCTAATCGATTCCGTAAATTAATAATCACCTTTAAAACCATATTATTAGTTATTAGACCCTATCATTAGATATTAATCACTCTAAAATTTTAATTCCCGGTAATGCCGTTTTTGCTCGGTTTCTCGCATTTGTTTGCGCTTTAATTTAACGGGACCCGAATTTATTATTTTAACTATTTTCTAATGTTAGTATATTAATAACATATATCAAGGTTTCATAAATTTAGACTTGGTCCCTATACA